GACACGATAACTTCCACTGCCCTGTTGGGGGGCTTTCTTGGGGGCCCCAAGAAAGCCTCAGCGGCCCCCAGGACGACCCCAAGAGAGCCACAAGATGGTTCCAAAAGGGTTCCAAATTACCCCCTGGTCCAACTCCACAGCGTGGAGTTCGAAACGAGGACTTCGAGCGCCCCTGTTGGGGCCAATTCGGAGCTTCCAAGACGGCCCCGGAGAGCCCGAGTAGGGCCCCAAGAGTGTCACAGGAGGGTCCAAGAGGGGTCCGGGTGAGTCTCTGGTCCAACTCCACGGCGTGGAGTTCGAAGCGATTACTTTGAATTGCCTCTGGGAAGCCTCTTGGCCCCCCCAAGACGGCCCCAGAGGGCCCCATGAAAGTCCTCTCAAGGATGCGAGAGGGCTCCGAGAGGGTTCCGTTAATCTCCCTCGTGAGCGTTCTGCTGCATTCCCCCCTCATACACGAATGTCATTGCGACACTCCCACTCATTCACACAAGGCAATGGTGCAACAAATCCCATTCATGCACGAAGGAAGCGTTGTTGCTGTAATCCCACTCAACGTACGACTAGCTGCTGTTGCTATCCTCTTCATGAACCAGGGGCGCGGCTTGCTTCAATCTAAGACCCCGTGCACGAGGAGACGTCTCCCCTACAATCCCACCTGTGTACAAAAAGCAGGTTTGCTACAATCCCCCTCGTGACAGAGAGGGCTAACTCACCACAAACACACAGGCACACCCATATGCGAACGAGGGTCGCCTTGTCTTATAATCCCCCCGCGGCGAACCAGAAGCATTTTTTGCTGCAGGTCCCTCACGACCAGGAGACAATTGTTGCCACAATCCTCCCTCATGCGCGGCGGACAATGTTTGTTACAACCTCCCCCCATCATGCACGAGAGGCCGCTTTCTCTCGAGCCCTCCCTCGTGTGCGAGGAACTGTTCAGTTGAAAATCCCCCCCTCGGTTTTTGTTACGCCCCTCCGTGCAACGGGGACCGTTTTTGCTACAACCCCCGCTCACGCACGAGGGGCAGTTTTTGCTACCATGCCTCCTCTGCACGCACGAGGGACAGCGAGTGCTAGTGACCCCCACGCACGAGGGACAGTCTTTTCCATCCCCATCCTTTATTCCAAATCACACCATAGAAAACCCAAATCAGAGTTCGAGCGAAGCGTGTAAAGACATCGCGATGTCTCGGAACCCCTTGGGCCCCCCTTTGAGGCCTGCCCGAGGCCCCCGAGAAGCCTGCAGAGAGGCCCCAAGAGGGCTTCAAGAGAGCCCCAGGAGTTGTCACTTCCACGGGCGCCGAAAGTGATCGCTCGAAGGTGCCTTCCGGGGCACTCTAAGGCCTCCTCAGGGACCTCTGGAAGCTCCCCGAGGTCCCGAGGAGTCCCTGGAAGGCCCCGAGAACCAACCACCCAAAGGCTCCCAGAGGGCCCAGTGCCGGGGGATGCGTCCCTGCCCAACAAGTCCTGCAAGCCTGCCAGGGGGCGGGGGCTGGGCGAGAGCCAGTCCTGGCGTTCACGACGGCTGATTCCAGGTGGGTCGCCTGTGAAAAAAATTTGATGCTCGCCCCAACCGAAAAATTTAATGCACACTGAAAACCACAACAAAAAACCAAAGGAAAATCAAACATACACCGATTGTGGTATACACCGATGACCAAAATCCGGTTGAAAAACCACATGTTTCGATGGGTTCGCTCGCGCGTGCGCGCGAGCGAACCAAGCGCAGGTTTGCAACGCCAGGTGGCGCCACCTCTCCCAGTCCTCGCCCCCGCAGCCGAAATCTGGGATTGCGCTCCCAAGGGGCGCGCCTGCGAAAGCCAGTGCACGACCTCGTGCCTGGGAGCAAAATGGCATCCGAAGGCCCCCTAGGAGAGCCTTGGAATTGTCATTTTCACGGGCGCTGGAAGTGACACCTCGAAGGTGCCTCCTGGGGCCCTCTCAAGCCTTCTGGAGGCCAAGCAACCAGAGGGCTTCACGAGGGCTCCAAGAAGGTCTCAAAAGGGCCTCGAACAGGCCCCTCCTAGATGCTCTCGGCACTGCGTTTCGGAAGGCTCCCTTGAAATCTAGGGGGGGGCTCTCTTGGGCTTCTCTCGGGCCTTCTTAGAGCTTTCCCAAGGCCCTCCGAAAGATCCCGAAGAAGCACTGGGAGGCCACTCCCGAAGCCCCAAAAAGGCCCCTCCTAGAAGCTCCCGGCATTACGTTTCGGAGAGCTTCCTGGGAGCATCTGAGAGGGGGCCTCTTGGGGTGCTCTCGCGCCTCTTTGGAACTCTCCCGAAGCTTTCCGAGGGGCCCGAAGAAGCCCTGGAAGACCCCCCAATAAGCCCCAGGGGGCTTCGAGGAAGGGTCGGTGGTCGAGGAAAAGAAGTAGGCTCAATTCACCAGTGGGTCTCCCGCGCTGGCGTGAGCCACTCGTTCAATCGAGCGCCCAGGCAATCCTTTGGCAACGATGACTTGGAGACGCGGGATAAGGAAATCTTTGCGGGGCGCGAAGACCTTCTCCGAGTGGGGGGATGACTGCCCCCCTTGGATCAGCAAGAGGGGGAGATGTTCGCGCGCTGTGGGGGGGGGGGCGGGGGGGTAGGTCCCACGGCATTGAAGTTCAAGTTTCTGAGCCAATAGGACTGGCCGCCGAGTAGCGTCGACAGTCCCCGAGGTGAGCTTGTGAATTACGGGGCGGTCGTGGGGGGGAGAAGATGAGACATCGATTCTCAAATTAGTTGTTGCACTGAAAGGGTCCCGGCGGAGATTGAAAGAGCATGCGAAAATGTCATGCCAAGTTCGGTACGCGGCCAGGTTCCTGGGTTTCGAGTTCCGGACCCTCCAAGACTACACTCGAATACCCAAAGAGGAGCCCAAGAAGAACCATGATAAAGTCACGCAGTTCCCAGTGGCCCTCTCGGGGCCCTCTGAGACGGCGCTGCGGGGGGGGGATCGGAGGGCCCCAAGAAGGGTCCCAAGAGGGGCCCAAGAGGAGTCCGCATGAAGGCCAGGGAGGGCCGGCCCTCTGGCAGGACGTCCTATTCTCCTCTCAGAGCCGCTCGTGGGGTCCTCCCAGGTCTCCTCTCGAGGCCTCCGGGGGGACCAGGTGTAGCTCCAAGGAGCCTCGAGAACACCACATGATCGCCCCTCCCAGATTCTCCCAGGAGGCCTTCCGAAGCGCCGCGGCAGGAACGCCCAGAAGCGGGGCTTCTCGAGGCCCTCTTGGAGCCTTCTTGGGGCCCCCTTTCCAAGTCCGCCGTCCCTCCTTTTCCCCTCTGACACCTCTTGCTGCACGCATTGCTCCCCGTCCTCTACATCGTTCCTTCGTCCTCCACTCCCTCGCCCCACTCCTGTTTCTTTGTTCTGTTGGCTGGCTGGGTGCCGATCATCAATGGACCGCCATGTGATTTCTTGTTTAGCCCCACGAGTTCGGTGTCGGTGAATGCTTGTTGGCCTCCGATCGTCGGCGGCAGGAGCCTGAAAAAAGCTGCAAGGCTGAAGTCTGTAGAACAAAAACTCGAGGGACATGCATGGCTTGGGCCTCCTCGGACTGTCGCTGGAGCCCTCGGACTTCGAGAATCGGGCGGCTCGGCGCGTCCGCTTGTTGCTGGAGGAGGGGGTCCAACGCCTGCACAGCGTGCTAAGTCTTGTCCGCGCCAGGGCCGGGGCCTCAGCGCTCGGCCCCTGCGGGCACGGACACGATTTGACGCGCCACGCTCGCGCGAAGTCTCGCCCTCGGGCGGAGAGGGCACGTCGAAGTTCGTCCTCGAGCCCGCTGGGGGCGCCCGGGGGGCGTTTTCCCGGGTTTTGATCCGCAGGCAATTTTCGCACGCACGCATGCCTGCAATGTGGGTAAGACCAGGGCAGGCCCGCGGCCTTCTGGCCGCGGAATCTGCCAGCCATGGTGTGGACTCCGCACTGGGGCCGCTCAGGCGCACGGCGCACGAGAGGATCACCGATAGGACGCTGGACGAACTGTCCATTTGGTTTACTTGGGCTGAGCGTTAGGAGCCTTCTCGGGGTGTCTGGACAGTCTTGGGGCCTTCTTCGGGGCATGCTCGGGACATCCCTGTGGCTTCGATCGGCTTTTGGGCCATCTTGGGCATTCTCCTCGTCCTCCCCTGGATCATTCATCCCGTGGATCTTCGTTAAGAGCCGTCTCGGTGCCTCTGGAGCCTCCTGGGGCCTCCTTCGGGTCATGCTCAGGACATCTCGTTGGCTTCTACCAGTTTTTGGGGCTATTATGGGCGTCCTCCTCATCCTCCTCCTCCTCCTCCTCCTCCTCCTCCCCGCGATCCTTCATCCCGTCGATCTTCGATCATCAATCGTCGACGCTCCCCAAGAGAAAGCATCCATGGCCTCTTGGCGGCCGTTTGGGGGACTCGTTACGTCCTCCTGGTCTCTCGGGGCCATCGCGGGTCGTCCTGGGTACCTATTGGGCCGTCCTGGGGGGATCTGGGCCCGTCTTGGGCGCCTCTCGGGCAATCTTGGGGCCGTGCTGTGGCCATCTTGGGCCGTTCTTGGGCGCTCTTGGGGGCCCGTGCAGCCGTCTCGGAGATCGCGCAGACGAAAAGAACGGACATAGGATACTTATACGTTTCCCAAAGGCAATGGGGCGATGTTTGCATCTTGGGGCTCCCCTGGGGGTCCTCCTGGGCGGTCTCGGGAGCCTCCTGGTCTGCCTTGGAAGCCCTCGTGGCCATCCTGGGGCTCGCTTGGGGTCCTCTTGGGGCGCCCGGGCGCCCTCTTGAGCGCAACTCTGAGCCGTATTGGGACCCCCCGGAAACGTCTCGGAACGCCCACGCGACTCGCAGGGTGCCCCCGAGTGCCTGGGCGGCCTTCCGGGACAGGGGACCTTCTCGCACGCAAGGATCGCGGCAATGTAGAAGGGATGACGTCGAGCTCCAGCTTTACTTGCCGCATCTCACTCAGCAGCGCCAGCGCCCGCTGCCACTGCCCGCCCTTCTCGCACGCGCTGATCCCAGCGTTGCAGCTGATGACGTTGGGCTCCAGCTTCGCCTCCCGCATCTCGCTCAGCAGCGCCAGCGCCCGCTGCCACTGCCCGCCCTTCTCGCACGCGCTAACGACACCGCTGTAGCTGATGACGTTGGGCTCCAGCTTCGCCTCCCGCATCTCGCTCAGTAGCGCCAGCGCCCGCTGCCACTGCTCGCCCTTTTCGCAGGCGCTGATCCCAGCATTGTAGCTAATGACGTCGGCTTCCAGCTTCACTTCCCACATCTCGCTCAGTAGCGCCAGCGCCCGCTGCCACCGCTCACCTTTCCCGCACGCGCTGATCCCAGCATTGTAGCTGACTAGGGCAGACCTGTGGACTCCGTCCACGACATCAGCTCGACGTGGCGAGGGGACTCTGGGCAAGCGCGGCGTGCCTGTCGCCTCTCGTCCGCTCCCCCGCTCCTGGAGGGAATTCTGAAGCCACTGAAGGCTTCGTGGGGGCCGTTTCGGAGCCTCTTCGGCCTTCTTTTGGGCCTCCCGGGGGGGCTCTTAGGGCCCTCTCGGGCCGTCTTGGGTGCCTCTTGGGCCGTCTTGGGGCCGTCTGAGGCCCGCCTCGGCGCCTCTTGGGCTGTCTTGGGCCGTCTTGGGCCGCTCCTGGGGCCGTCTTGGGTGCCTATTGGGCCGTCTTGGGCGCCTCCTGGGCCGTCCTGGGGCCGTCCTGGGGCGTCTTGGGACCGTCTTGGGGCCCTCCTGGCCCGTCTTGGGGCTCTCTTGGGGTCCTCTTCGGCCGTCTTGGAGCGGTCGGGGGGACTTCTTGGGCCGTCTTGGAGCGTCGGGAAGCCGAAAGGCCGAAAACATTGAAAAACACAATAGAAATCGACGATTTCTGTCGCTCGGAGCCCTCTTGGGAGGCCTCTTGGGAGGCCTCTTCGGGCGTCTTGGACGCCTCGAGGGCCTCCTGGGGCGAATCTCGGACGTCTTGGGCGCATCTTTAAGCGTGCCGGGGCTCTCCGGGGCCGTCTTGGGGGATTTTTGGGGCCCTCTGGACGTGTCTTGGGGCCTCCCTGGGCGGCCCGGGGCCAGCCCGGGGCGGTTTTGGTGCATTGGAGCCTGCACCATTCTGGCACGCACTGGGCCCTGCAATGTAGTAGAGACTAGGGCAGACCTGTGGACTCCGTCCACGACATCAGCTCGACGTGGCGAGGGGTCTCTGGGCAAGCGCGGGGGGGTGCGGCTGCAGGGCCGAAAGGTCCTGCTCTCCTGTGTTCCTCAGCTGCTGCTGCTGCTGCTCGGAGGTCCTGCTGCTTCCTCTCCCTCCTCCTCCTCCTCCTCCTCCTCCGCCTCCTCCTCCTCCTCCTCCTCCTCCTCCTCCTCTTCCACCTTCTTCTCCTCTTTCGCTGGATTCTCCATGCCCTCGGTCGGCAATCGTCGATCCTACGACGACTCTCCCCAACAGAGAAACATCGAAGGCCCTCGGAGCGTCCAACATTGTTATTTTATGCCTTCGGTATGCCGGTGGCCTCTCGTCCGCTCCCCCCCTCCTGGAAGCAATTCTGAGGCCACTGAGGGCTTCGTGGGGGCCGTTTGGGGATCTCTTGGGGCGTTTTTGCCTTCGGTATGCCGGTGGCCTCTCGTCCGCTCCCCCCCTCCTGGAAGCAATTCTGAGGCCACTGAAGGCTTCGTGGGGGCCGTTTCGGAGCCTCTTCGGCCTTCTCTTGGGCCTCCCGGGGGGGGCTCTTAGGGCCCTCTCGGGCCGTCTTGGGTGCCTCTTGGGCCGTCTTGGGGCCGTCTGAGGCCCGCCTCGGCGCCTCTTGGGCTGTCTTGGGCCGTCTTGGGCCGCTCCTGGGGCCGTCTTGGGTGCCTCTTGGGCCGTCTTGGGCGCCTCCTGGGCCGTCCTGGGGCCGTCCTGGGGCGTCTTGGGACCGTCTTGGGGCCCTCCTGGCCCGTCTTGGGGCTCTCTTGGGGTCCTCTTCGGCCGTCTTGGAGCGGTCGGGGGGACTTCTTGGGCCGTCTTGGAGCGTCGGGAAGCCGAAGAGGCGAGGAGGCCGAAAACATCGAAAAACACAATAGAAATCGACGATTTCTGTCGCTCGGGGCCCTCTTGGGAGGCCTCTTGGGAGGCCTCTTCGGGCGTCTTGGACGCCTCTTGGGCCGCCTGGGGCGAATCTCGGGCGTCTTGGGCCCATCTTTAAGCGTGCCGGGGCTCTCCGGGGCCGTCTTGGGGGCTTCTGGGGGCCCTCTCGACATGTCCTGGAGCCTGCCTGGGCGGCCCGGGGCGGCCCGGGGCCAGCCCGGGGCGGTTTCGGTGCATTGGGGCCTGCGCCATTCTGGCACGCACTGGGCCCTGCAATGTAGTAGAGACTAGGGCTGACCCGTGGACTACGTCCACTTGCGGGTGAAGGGGTGCTGCCGCAAGGCCAGCAGGATGAATGACGTCATGTTTGCCTGCCAGATACTGCTGAGCTGCGGGAGCGCCAGGTAGCGCTGCTCGCCCGTCTGGGAGCCCCCAACGAGCCCCCAACGACACCGACGACGACGACGACGACGACGACGACGACGACGACGACGACGACGACGGCTGCGGCGGCGGCAACGGGCTGCAACGGGCTGCAAGGCTAGGCTGGCCCGAGTCAGGGCCACCGGCCCGCCGGCCCAGAGTCGGCGGTGCCGATGCTGGGCGCCCCCCCGCCCGCCGTCCCAGAGTCCTGCCCCTCGCTCCCAGGGCCACGTGCGACTCTGGGCCGCCACGCCGCCGACCCAGAATCCCGCCCGGCGCGCCCCGGGGCCGCCGCGCGCGCTTCCGGGGTCGGCCAGGACGATTCTGGGCCGCAGGCCCGGCAGCCCAGAATCGGCGGGACGAATTCTGGGCCGCCGCGCCGCCAACCACGAATCCCGCCCAGCGCGCCCTGGGCCAATTCTCGCGCCTCTGGGGCGGGCCTACCTGTTTCTGGGCCACCAACCCGCCAGCCCAGAATCGACCGGACCGATTCTGGGCCACCGCGCCGCTCGCCAAGAATCCCGCCCAGCGCGCTCTGGGCGGCCGCGCGCGATTCTGGGGCACCAACATTTTGGCCCAGAATCGGCGGGCCGATTCTGGGCCGCCGCGCCGCCAGCCCTGAAATCCGCCCGGCGCGTCCGAGGACGGCGCGGGCCCCTCCGGGGCGGCCCAAGCCGATTCTGGGCCACCGGCCCGCAGGTCCAAAATCGGCTTTGTGACCGACCCATGGTGCGCTTGGAGCCGTTTTGGGACCGTCTTCGGGCCGTCTCAGGCCGTCTTGGGCTGCTGTTGGTGCTGTCTTCGGTGCTTCTTGGGCCGTGATCTTGGGGCCTCTGGGGCTCGATTAGGAACCTCTCAGCGTTTCTTTTCGGCCTCCTGGAAGCCTCCTGGGACCCTCTTGGGCTGTCTCGGGTGCCTCTTGGGCCGTGTGGAGGCCGTGTGGAGGCCGTTCGGGGCCGTCTGGGGGTTGGGGTCCGTCTCGGGCGTTTCTGGAGCAGTCTGGGCACCGTCTCGGGGTCGTCTTGGGCTGTCCTGGGCCGCTCTTGAGACTGTCTTAAACAAATTGGGTACCCCGTAGGCACCAGGGGCGCCTCAGGAGCTGTGCTGGGGCCGTTTTGAAGCGTTTTGAAGCCGCTTGGGGCCCTTGGGCCGTCTCGTGGAGCCTCCGGGGCACCAGGACGGAACCAAAAAGAGCTTCGTAGTATTCGTGCTCAGGGGCGCTCAAAACGAACAGAGCGCGGCCTCTCGCGGGGTCTTCCTAGGCGTCTCTCGGGGCTCTCTTCGAAGTTCCTGAGATGGTTTTGAAATCCTTTGGGGGGCTCCTCGCGGTTGGAAGGCCGTCTCGGGAGGGGCCTCGAGGGCGCCAGGACGGAACCAAAAAGAGCTTGCAGGTGTTCGTTGTGAGGGGCGCTCAAAACGAAGAGTGCGTGGCCTCTCGCGGGGTCTTCCCAGGCCTCTCTCGAAGCTATCTTCGAAGTTCCGGAGATCTTCTTGGGCTCCTTTGGGGGGGTCCTCGCGGCTTCAAGGCCGTCTCGGTAGGGGCCTCGAGGGCGCCAGGACGGAACCCAAAAGAGCTTCGTGGTGTTCGTTTTGAGGGGCGCTCAAGACGAACAGAGCGCGGCCTCTCGCGGGGTCTTCCCATGCCTCGGGGCTCTCTCCGAAGTTCCGCAGATCTTCCTGGGCTCCTTTGGGAGGCTCCTCGCGGTTTCAAGGCCGTCTCGGGAGGGGCCTCGAGGGCGCCAGGACGGAACAAAACAGAGCTTCCAGGTGTTCGTATTGAGGGGCGCTCAAAACGGTGCCCAGCCCCTGGTGGGGCCTTCCCAGGCCTCTCTCGGGCTCTCTTCGAAGCGTCTGATATCTTCTAAGAGAGCCCGGAGGAGGCCGCGGAGGACCGGAAGAAGGCCCCGAGGCGCCAGAAGGGCCGGACAGGGGTCCCGAGGCAACCGAAAAGAACGCGAGGGCGCGTGGAGAAGCACGCACCGGGAGCTGGCAGGGAACCTCGTCAGCAGGAACTTGAAAGTGGCTCGTTTTCCCACGGAAATGCCTCTTTTTCCCATCCTCAGACGCTCCTGCCGGCGCGTGTTGGAGTGTCTTGGGCCATCGTGGGCGCGAGGGCGGGGCTGCTGAGCTTCCAGGGCGCCTCCGGGGAGGCATCTCGGAGCGTCTCGGAGCGGCCTGAAGCAGCCTCGGAGCCGCGCTGGAGTCGACCAGAGCTTGCTGGGACGCCCGGGGAGGGCTCCGGAGGGGCCGGCCCGCGGCCACTGCGTTACAATTTGGCGAGCGGTGAACGCTGCATTGTAGTAGAGATGGCGTCGGACTCCAGCTTCGCCTCGCGCATCTCGGTCAAGAGCGCCAGCGCCCGCTGCCACTGCCCGCCCTTCTCGCACGCGCTGATTCCAGCGCTGTAGCTGACTAGTGTGAACCCGTGGATGAAATCCACGGCGTGCTGAGCCTGGGACTCGCACACCGTTGGTAACCATCTCGTCGACATTGAACAGCTCTGGCGTCCCTAGGGCGGCAGGGGCGACATTCGGAGGCACATGTGACGGTCACGTTTGAGGGCAATGGTTGGGCGCTGTGCAGGGGCCACGTTTGGGGGCGCCTGGGGGCTACTCGTGGGGGCGACGTTCGGGAGCCACGCTTACTGGGGCGGTAGGGGCGACCTTCAGAGGCTTTGTGTGGGGGCCGCCTTTGGGGGTCCCGTTGCGGGGCCGACGTTTACAGGCCACGTCTGGGGGCCACCCTGGAAAGCAGTCGTGGAGCTCAGGGGACACTGACCTGGAAGCGTGAAACGAGATGGGTTTTTGCTAAT